ATAGAAAATTGCTGTTTCCACAGGGTAATTCCACTTTAGACCAACAGTATACAACCCCACAGTGATATCAATATCAAGTCATTCTGATGTTGCCTTCCAAAATAAAGGCCTTTTTAAATTGCCCATATACGACCAAACTTTCAGTTATTTCAAAATGCTCTAAAATGGAAAATTGCTGTTTCCACAGGGTAATTCCACTTTAGATCGACAGTATTTATCCAACCTTTATTTTGGATGGCAACATCAGAATGTTTTTATATTTATATGGTATCACTGTGGGGTTGTATACTGTTGATCTAACGTGGAATTACCCTGTGGAAACAGCAATTTTCCATTTTAGAGCTTTTTGAAATCATTTAAAGAGTCGGTCAAATATGGGCAATTTCAAATTTCTGTGGTTTGATAGTATTGATACAAAATGCAACTATTTGGAAATATGACTTTTGCTTTTAAGAGCATTCTGGAGTCATTGAAAGAGTAGTTCAAAAATGAAAATTCACAGGGCTTTTACTTTGAAATCCAAAATAAGATGGCATTGATATCGACAGGGTGCTAATAGTGAACAAGCCTAAATTATTTGTTATTATGTTCTTAAAATATCTGATAATTCACTTGAAGTTTAATTTTATTTTGAAATCCGGTTTCCACATCCATTCCCGTAATAATTTGAATAGACGGGGAACAGAAAACAAACTGGAGGCTGGCTTGACACCAGTATGTTGTCGAAGGGAAAAAGAAAAACCAAAGAGTAACGGTGGCCAGCCTTGAGAAAAATAACGGTCCGTGGGGCTCAGTGGTTGTTTATGCAGTTCTTTTGATCTTCTTTTGCTTTTTAAGGTTTAAAGTCAAGGACAATTCCGTTTTAAATACCAGAGTTTGCAAAAGTTCTACCGCTCACTCCGCCATCTTACTCCTCCCTCCCATCTTACCTCAGACAGCTGCTCTCTTTCTTGACATTGGGGTGTATGGTGTACGTACTATTTAAACAACTCTAACTTGCTCAATTGTCAACCGATTTTCAAAAGGTTTCATTTGTTATAAACGCCAGAGATGTGTCTGTGAAATAGGGTGGGTTTGGCCCTGAAAATCCGTTTATTTCACTCCACAAAGCATTTAATCTTTCATAGATAACACATTTAATTGTAAGCTACAGTAACTTAAAGTATACATAGCTTAGTATTATATTATATAGATCTATCTATATCTATTCCTGGTTTGTGAAATAGGATTTGTTTAGAGATGAGATTTCAAGGTTCTTTTGAGGTAAAGCCACATAAACAGAACACAGATACAAAATGTGCCCCCCAACAAAAAAAGTCAACCAACACCCAAATCACATCTGTCAGCCAGAACCGGCCCACCAGCAATCAAATTTAACCCAGCGAATTATTTTGTATTTTCACTATTTCTTATATTTTGTATTCTTATTTATTGACTTTCATGTATTAATTATAAGCTCTTTGGTAATGCTTTCTGAAAAAGTTAGGTAATAATCAAAAGATAGATTAGGTTAATAAATAAGATGGATTACAGTAATAAATAAGAGATGGATAATGGACTGACCTTGTGAAGGAGATTTTCAACAGTCATAAAACCAGATAAACAATGTATAGAAGAAGGTAGCAGCAGCAATGGAGCAGCAGTTTCTAATTATTTCATTTACATAAAAACAACTAACAGACTGAATAATTTACAAGTCTAGGTTTCCTTTGCAACAGTTACAGATGAAAGGTGATCCCACGTTGTCTCAGTTTGTCACAGCAGAGGCACTAGAAGCTCACCCGAACCACCGCAGCTAGACAGGAAGAAGCCACTGGCTTTTCAAAATAATTTAAACATTTCATGATGTTTAAATTCATTTCAAACTACAATTCTTGTTAGTTTAAGTGCGAAAATATAGGCTATATATTTTACGCTTCACATTTTTTTTTGCCATAGTGTAACTGGTTATGAGCTACAAGCTAATGTCAGTCATATGCATGAATATAGGACTGCTTCAATCCTTGCATTTACTGAAACATGGTTAAATGAGAATGTTAGTGATGATTCACTACACATTGATGGTTTTAGCCCACCAATACGCCTAGACCGGAGCCGCGAGCTCACAGGTAAACAACATGGCGGCGGAGTATGTCTCTACATAAACACTCAGTGGTGTTCCACTATTGTAGTGAGGGAACAGCTACGTTCCACAGACATTGAACTCTTGGTCGTTTCCCTTCGCCCATTTTATCTCCCGAGAGAATTTCCTCAGCTTTTTATCATGCTGGTCTACATTCATCCAGAAGCTAATGCCTCTACAAGAACCAAACACATTTCTACCGTGTTAAACAAAATTGAACAGTTATCACCAGACTCTCCCAAATTTATTCTGGGTGACTTCAATCACTGTCTTGTTGATAAGACCCTGAAAGGCTATCAGCAATATATCAGGTGCCCCACCAGAATGGGTAAGATCCTCGACAAATGTTATGGCATACATTCCAGTGATCAAAAGAGTTAAAAAGACTGTTAAAGATATCAAACAATGGACAGAGGAAGGCATCTCTAATCTAAAAGAATGCTTTGAATCTGCAGACTGGAATAGCCTATCTACATCCAGCAATATAGATGAGCAGGTTGAGACAGTTTCCTCATACATCTCCTTCTGTGTCGACAGTATTATTCCATCCAAAACAGTTTCCATCTTTCCCAACAATAAACCGTGGATCACTAAAGAACTGAAAGAAATCTTAAATAAGAAAAGAAAGATTTTCTTCACAGGTTCTGAACATGAGAAAAAGGAAATCAATAGACAGGTCAAGCGAGCCATAAAAATGGCCAAATTAAAGTACAAAGATAAAGTGGAGGAAAGGTTCATGGAGGGAAACCTCAGCTCTGCTTGGCTGGGTTTGAAGACCATGGCCTCAGCAAATACAGCAATAGCAACACCTAGTGGCAGGTGGAGAGCAGCACACCGACATCTCTGCCTGATGATCTCAACTCTTTTTATACTCGGTTCGAGTCTGATAATCACGTCCAGCTCCAGGAAATAAAATCTAAATTAAGCCCTGGGAACCCTGCATTCAGATTCAGATTTACCATGCAGCAGGTTGTGAAAGCTCTTAAGCAGACTAAGGAGAAAAGTACACCTGGCCCAGACCACATCAGCAGCAGAGTTCTCAGAAACTGTGCACAGCAACTAGGGGGTGTGTTTCAGACCTTGTTCCAGAGTTCCATGGATACAAGCGCAGTTCCCCAGCTCTGGAAACACTCTACGGTCATACCCGTTCCCAAGACCAGCAGGGTTAAGGCTCTCAATGATCTTCGACCTGTGGCTCTGACCTCTTTACCGATGAAGGCTATGGAGAGGATCTTGAAACATCATATAATCGGAGCCTTACACCCTCAGTTAGATCCACTTCAGTTTGCGTATCGGAAAGGGAGAAGTGTTGATGATGCAAAAACATTCATCTTAGACATGGTACACAGACATCTGGAGATCCCAAACTCTTCAGCTAGACTGCTGTTTGTTGACTTCTCCTCAGCGTTTAACGCCCTGCAACCTCACATCCTGGCTGGCAAGCTCGCTTCTCTTTTTCACCTGGATGATCAGATAATCCTATGGATCCTGGATTTCTTAACTAACAGATCACAAAGAGTTCTGGTTAACACGCTCTCAGACCTTCTTCACACCTCTACTGGCACCCCACAAGGCTGTGTGTTGTCTCCTCTACTCTTCATTCTCTACACAGATGACTGTAGATCCATCCAGCCTGACAGTTACATGGTAAAATATGCTGATGACACTGTGCTCCTGTCTCTTCTGTCGGGCCCTACTGTTTACCACGGGCAGGTCCTGCAGCAGTTTGTGGATTGGTGTGACACTGCATGCCTGGAGCTGAATGTGACCAAAACTAAGGAGATGGTGGTGTCCTTCTCAAACAGAGAGCGCTGGTTACCGCTGCCTCCACTATCATTCATGGACAGCCAGTGGAGCTGGTTGAAGAGTATAAATATCTAGGGACCACCTTTGATCACCTCCTGAAATTTGCTTCCAACACCGAGGACGTCCTCAGAAAGTGCCAGCAACGACTCTACCTCCTGAGGAAGTTGAATTCATTTGGAGTCAGGAAGGACATTTTACTGACTTTCTATTATTCTTTTATAGAGTGTTATCACATTTTCCATCCCCTGCTGGTTTTATTCTGTCAGCCTGCAGTATAGAAACCATCTACAAAGCACCGTCAAGGTGTGCTCTCGGATCATCGGACTACCACCGCGAAACTTAACTTCTCAATGTGACCAGCATACAGGAAGTTTAGCACAGAAAATCATTAAAGACCCATCACACCCTCTTCATACTGTTTTCGAGTGGCTGCCCTCCAAACGCCGACTTCGATGCCCATGCTGTAAAACACAGAGGAGGAGAAGTTCCTTTGTTCCCAGAGCTGTGCTTCTTCTTCATTCTCAGTACAGATAGGGGGCGTGTGCATTACTTGTATGTGTGTGTGCGTGTAGTTACATGTATGCATGTGTATTTGTGTGTGTGTGAGCCAAAGGTTGACTCATTGTTGGTCATTCACATGTGAGGTTATGACATGAATGCGTATATAGGTTTTATGGGTTTTACAAATGTGTAAATTGGTTGTGTTTTTAGAATTTAGAGATTTTAGTGCTGGCCGTCTCGAATTGCCCCTCGGGGACTAATAAAGTTGTCTTGAGTCTTGAGTTACGAGTTGTTAGGGTTGGACTTTTATGTTGAAGGGGTGTGTAGAGAGTTCCGGTTCGGTTGTTTAGAAACGAGCTAGTTTGAATGGAGACCGTTAACGATGTTTTTCCTGGAGTTAAGGTGAGGGCTGCCAACACTAACCCGGAATAAAGATCCGAAACGGAAAGAATAAGTTGGAGTTATTACGTTATCTTTAAAAAAATTAATCAAAAAATGTATATGTCGCTGACGTGGCTAGGGCCGTAAAATACGACGCTATGCTAAGGTTTATATTTTTATTTTGGACAAATTATTCTTGCTTCGTATCACAACGTCTTAGCAACATGAAGGCTTTGTGTTAGTGTCTGGTTAGAAAGATTGAACTGGATTATTGCGTTGTTTCATTCTTGTGCACGTCACCTTCCTTTGTTAGCACTAATAGCATGCTATGCTAATGCTACATAAACAGAAATGAACGTGAAACGTGACGTTATGAAAAAATAACCGGTGACAAACCGATCAGGATCAACTTAGTCATTCATGTAATTTCCCGTTCATATCTTCACTTTTGGTTTTTAGTAACAAACATGCAGCATCTTCTACTCACTCCTTCATAGCATGAATAAAACAATATGACTGATCTGTGAGTGTAAATTTACATGTAACACATGTTTTATAGCATGTGTGTGCTTTTATGTCCACTAGAGTCCTTATTAGTGTCAAGATGCTGCATGTGAGAACATAAATGTCTGCAGCTTTCTCCACTTCTACTTATTTAAATGTAATTTAAGTAAAACAGTGACTGCAAATCTCTGCTGTGTAGTTTATATAATTATTTTGTCACCTCTCCATCCGTCCACAGGTGTACGGCAGAAGAAGGAAGCACAGTAACACCCGTGAGATGCTCTGATGAAACCGACAGCAAACACATTAAGGTAGAGAACAACACTTTAGCTTCTCTGTGTAAAACATGAGGATTAACAAAAGTACCATGAACGTTTTATGTGATAAGAAGATTTAATGAACTTATTTTTAATTTCTTTTATTTCTTTGTTATTTTAAACAAATAGTAACAAAAGGAACAAAACAATACAACTTACACATACCTGAATGAAAAGGAGCAGATTAAAAGATAATCTATATATAATCTGCCCCACTCACACCAGATTAGAGATTTTGCTGGGATATTTGATTTCACATGAGCTTTATAGAACAAGTGTAGAGTCCTGTAATCAG